GTGCCAAGGTGGATTGGCAACCATGTCCTGACGGATCCTCGTGGTTGACTCAGATTGTTTGATGGCCATTTCTTGGAACTACCAGGTCCAGAAGTATTTTTTACATGCTAGGACCAGAATGCTCAGGTTCAGGATACACTGGCTCAAATTTAGAATTTTAGTATGATATACATATTTTCCTGTTTTCGACCTTCTTAAAAAGGCAATGCAAGAGGTGACAGTGGAAGACCGTGTCGACTCTAATTCCTATGATGAATAAGATGATTCTGGAACCTCCAAGGGAAATTCCTGTACGTCCAGACCTATTACAAGGCCCCATGACACACCAGGATCCTCAAGTTCTGGTGTTGATGCGGGAGTCCATATTAGTATAGGCATCCCTGAGACGGTCATTGAGATCCTCTTACAATCCTATACAGGCTTTACTAAGCTTGACATGCTTTTGTCTGTTGGAATTACTCCTCGTTCAGGCCTTGAAAGGTTCTGTGTTATAACACTCTAGAGGAACACTTAGCTGCACTTTGCTTCATATAGGCATTGATTGAAATCATGCCTCCACTGAGTGTGGTGAAGCCAATATGTGACATACCAATGGTCACACGAGCCCTGACTGAACCATTATTCGAACCTCTAGAAGGAGCTTCCATGGTGGTAGCACAGAAAGTGCTGGTGGCTGGTACCCCAGCAAGAATAATGGGTGAACTCCAGGCTTGGTCCTGTGAACCCCCTTTCACTACTTTTCAACAGATATGGTCGTCTTGCATTTGGCACCTGAAGATCCTGCCTATGGTGAATGCTTATCTATGTCATTCTCTACCTGTACTGAAGGGTACCGATTGAGCGTTGATGCCCCTGGTGTTTTGCTTCATGTAAGCAACAATTGAACTCAAGCCTCCGCTGAGGGTCTTGAAACCAATATGTGACGTACCACTGGTCTCACAGACTCTGACTGTACTTCTAACAAGAGCTTCCATGATGTTAGCCCAGACGTTGCTGTTGCTAGTGACTGGTACCTCAGCAGGGTAAATGTGTGCACTTGCTGCACTTTGCTTCATATAGGCATTGATTGAAATCATGCCTCCACTGAGTGTGGTGAAACCAATATATGATGTACCACTGGTCTCACGGGCCCTGACTGAACCATTATTCGAACCTCTAGAAGGAGCTTCCATGGTGGTAGCACAGACAGTGCTGGTGGCTGGCACCCCAGCAAGGGAAATGGGTGAACTCCAGGCTTGATCCTGTGTACCCCCATTCACTGAATTTCAACAGGAGATGGTTGTCTTGCATGTAGCACCAGTGATCGTGCCCAAAGTGAGAACCTTTCAATGCCGTTCTCTACCTGTAGCGAAGGATTTGGGGCATTCTCCACTAGTGCTGTTACAGCATCTCGTGGGCTTCCATGGCAATGGTCTCTGCTGAAACTTTGTAAAGTTGGCATTTTGACCTCTTTGAACTAGTTTGTCCTGCATTACATATTGGACATTGAAGCAATTAACGAGGCACAATTTGGACGTCACGTCCGTTCTCTACCTGTGCTGGAGGGTATCAGGGCACTCTCCTCTCATGCTGTTGCAGCATCATGGGTTGCCATGGCAATGGTTTCTGCTGACACTTTTTGTAAGCTAGCATTTGAACCTCCTTTAGACACGTTTGTCTGGCATTTCATACTGTTCGTTAAAACAGTCTATGGTGCACAATTTGGTACTCAAGTACTTAACTCAGTTCATTCTTCTATCTATGTTGAATTATTCTGATAATTTGATTGGCTATTCTGTCCCTCCCTTTGTAAGCTTGGGTATTCCCCATGTGTATATGCTGCCATGATTAGCCAGGAAAGTGGAAAATTTATTCATACTTACCGTAATTTTCTTTTCCTGGCTATTATTCATGGCAGCATATACTTCCCTCCCATTAATGTCTCTATTTATGTACTGTAGAGCTTGTAAACTGACTGAGGACCTTAGGGATGGAGCCTCCTTTTAAAACCTTGGTGGTTTTCCTGTCCTATCGGCTGTAGGGGAGGAGCTAACCCATGTGTATATGCTGCCATGAATAATAGCCAGGAAAAGAAAATTACGGTAAGTATGAATACATTTTCCACTATGTTGTCGGAACGTTAAAGGAATACATACCATATTGAAATCTTCATCAAATTCTCATCTATCATCATCAATGAAAAGACCTGCTGCACTTGTTGAACGGGGCATCGCACATTCCACAATGAGTTGCATTTCTGGCACCCTCTCTCTGACTATTGTTTGGTTGGTTACTTACCGTGGATCTGTTACCTTTAGGGATCTTTGCATATTTTGCAAAGACTTTTGAAGGTGACATCTCTGATTAGTATCCAGGAGATGCAGATTGCAGTGGAAGTTAGGTACCATCTTCTCCTGGGTTACTCTCTTCAGCTCCTAGTGCTTCACCTGCCAGGCGCTATAGCTGTACTGTACTAATGCACAATTGTAAGAGTATAACACTGAGGTCTATGGAGGAGCCGGTGAGAGTACATGTAGAGTACATTTTGAAATGAGCAAGGCTATTCCTGAATCCTTCAGTCATCTCTTGTGATGGCTGTTGGGGTTGGTTAAAAGTTAACAGCGAAGCTCTGTGTTTTGTCAACCTCAGGCTTTACGAAAAGTCCATACTTTGTCTCATGGTATATTTGGACTTCAATGGAATTTCAATGAAACATAAAAACAATACCTTTATGAAATACTCAGGCAGAGTGCTTTAACATCTGCAGCACCTCTAAACTTGTTTTCACTACATAAATGTTTGTTTTAATCCTTTAAAAAGTTCACTTATTGGAGTATAAAAGGCAGGCTATTTCCTCCCAGCAAAATATAATTTAGAAAGCAATATAAGCCATAACTTGATATATTTAACAGCCTCTTGTGAAGAATGTTAAACTGGAATTAACAGCTTATGACTAGCTATAGAACAGACTGACGATGCCTCTTTCCTCTGCCCTCTTCCATTGCCCCCCACTGTTAGGCTCTTTGTTCATCACCACTTCAGCAAAGCAGACTTGTTTAGAAGGTTGTGCAGTGTTCCTGCCTTGTGTGACGAGGAGGATCTTTGATGGAATGTAACACTGGACTAATGAGGCCACAAAGTGGAACTGCTTCATAATTCTTTAAAGCACTTTGCCCTAACAAAAAGGAACACCGTTTTATTGACCTTTTTGACACAGTAACCTCTGACATTCTGTTTTCTGAACTGAAAGAATCTTTTTGTCTTATTTCTGTCACAACAAAAACTTCATTATTTTGGCTAGTTACTTTCTTCTGAATGGCTTACCTCCAAAATGCATTTGTTTATATTTTGCAAAAATGCAGACTTTTGGAGTGTTCATAAAAGTTAATGGAGGGAGGGACATATTTCTATCTTCACCCCTTTGCATACACAACCTCAGCTATACTCTCCCACCATGCCAAATATCCCCACCCTTCCAAAAAAAAAAAAAAATGAATAGCAGAGTCCATATTTTACTGCTTCAGCAGTGCTGCTTTTTGTCTTATTTTATGTGTAGAGTTCTATACAATAAATACATTATTTGAAAAGGAAAATGGGAACTTATATTATGCAACAGTGAAGATGCTTTTAAATGTTTCCTGGGATTGGATAAAAAGGGTGGAAGAGATTTGATCTTGTAAAAAGATAATTCACTTGGCTTCTGACAGACAACAATGGTACCTGGTTTTATTGGTCTCAATGGATGTGCTGACAGTTGGGTGCCTCTGGGAGGAGACATATAGGCCCATAACTTTGCCATTGATTCTAATTGAATATTTCATCTTTTTATATGCATGGGGTTCATGTTTTCCATTGCTAACCTAAGTACCCCCCTTACTCCAAACGTAATAGCCCAGCCTGTGGTGGCTTCCCCCTTTACCACTACCCTCCCCCCCTATTACACCGTCCCCCTCCTCCCCCCCCCCATTAGTACCTTTTTTTCTTTCTTTTTATCTCTCTCTCTCTCTCTCTCTTTTTCTTATCTTCCTCTTGTTTCTCTGAAACTGCTATGTTTATAAAAAAATGGGTTAACCCTAGCTGGACCTGGCACCCAGACCACTTCATTAAGCTGAAGTGGTCTGGGTGCCTAGAGTGGTCCTTTAATGGCTCTACAATACAATACAGCAGGTGGTGTGAGGGCATGCTGAGACATCACAGTAGTATTCCCTCTGCTCCCTGATCCCCATTTCCTCACCCATAAATATAAATTAGAAAGCAAGACCTATCTGGAGCAAACCTTAATATGGCTGCTTATTCTATGATGTGGCATGTCTCTGTTTGGAGCTCTGTTGTTGGTAAATGCCGACGTCAGCTGCAGCTTTCACACATATAGGGACCTCTTCCTCCTTGCCACAACATTCAGAAGTGGATTGGCGGGAGGGAGGCCAGGTATGCGTGTGGGCCGCTGCACACTGAAATGCGGCACGCGCCATCTTAACTTAGGCCCCGTACACAAGTATTTAGGGTTGAGTGTATTGGTCATTACCTATGCTATCATATATCATAAAATTATTTTGTGGAGTTTTTACAGAAGTTATTTTGCAAAACTGTCAGTACTTATTCATATAGTTTTGAAAAAAGTGGCACTGTCATTTTTCAGGGTTGTTTTAAAATTACTCCATTTCCTTTTTTGCTTTTGTGTTTTTTTTTGTTTTTACATTCAAGATAAACTAACGTTTACTATTTCTTATGATGAATGTTATCTTTTGCAAGCTTTGCCAATGGGCTGAGCTTAACCTCTGCCCGCCGTTACGGCATTCCATGCTGTCCCTGTATTAACAGGCTTTAAAGCCATTGCGGCAGCATGGAATGACGTAGGAGCCCCAGGAGATCTGCGATCCACTTCTGAACAACTGCCTGACAGCACAGACCGTCCCCTCGTCAAATTAGGACCCCACGGACCATGTGATCACTTTTTTGCAGAGCGATTGCCTGGTCCCAGAAACAGACCAAAGAACTGCATGAAAAAAAATAAATATATATATATATTCATAATGCACCAAATAATAATGTATGTATATGTGTGTGTGTGTATGTATGTATATATGTGTATATATATATATACACACATATACATACATTATTATTTGGTGCATTACGAATTTAAATATATACCTGCGTGTGTGTGTGTGTGTATATATATTTATATATATATATAGATATATGTGTATATATATATTTATATATAGATATATGTGTATATATATTTATATATTATATAAAAATACTCTTAGAATTAAATGACATATATATGTATATATACACACACACAATAATTAAAATACGTTTAAATAATTAAAATATATATATGTGTGTGTGTGTGTGTGTGTGTGTAATTACATCCTAACTCAGGGCCGGACTGGTAAAAAAATTAGGCCCGGGCATTTTTCAATCAGAGCGGCCCCCGAAGTAGGGGGCGGGGCTAGAGACAAACACGCCCCCTCTCAAAGTGAGCATGTTGGTTTAATGCGCAGAGCCCTGCTAAAGAGCTCTAGCATTAGAAAAAGGCCCTGTATTTGTTCTGCACAGCGCAAGCAAATTTAATAACATGCTTGTGCTGTGTTTGCTTTTAAATTGTCTCTGGTGTCTCCACAAGTGGGATACCAGAGGACAAAAGGGCCAGGAAAGCGTATGATGCATGTGTTTGGAGCCTGCTTGTGGGATTGCGTGTGTGTAGTGTGGTGTGGTTTTGTGTAAATAGGTCAATTTAATTTGTGTTTGTGGTGTAATATGTGTGGCTAGGAGCAGTGTGTGTGTAGGAGATCTAGTGTATAAAGGACTCAGAGTGTGTATAGGAGATAGTATGTGTGTGTGTTTTGTGTGTAGAGGATTAAGAGTGCATATAGGTAAGGGATCTAGCATGTATCTGGAGTGTAATGTGTGTAGTGGTGCCGTGTGAGGGGTGCTGTAGTTTGTGTATATATATATATTTATATTTGGACGTACTGTATGTGTGAGGGGCGCAGTGTGTGTGTGTGTGAAGGGTGCAGTGTGTGTGTGTGTGTGTGTGTGTGTAAGAGGGGTGCTGTGTGTGAAGGTGTTTTTATCTGCCGTCACATTCTAGGTTTCTAAATTTTTTTGTCTGTTAACTCACTGAGGGTTATTTTATTTATTATATATATATATATGTGTGTGTGTGTGCTGTATATGTGTGGGAGTGTGCTGTGTGTGGGTGCTGTGTGAGTGAGGGTGCTGTGTGAGTGAGGGTGCTGTCTCTCTGAGGGAGCAGTGTGTGTCTGAGGGTGCTGTGTGTGTGTGTGTCTGAGGGTGCTGTGTGTGCCTGGGTGCTGTGTGTGCCTGAGGGTGCTGCGTGTGTCTGAGGGTGTGTGTGTCTGGGTGCTGCGTGTGTGTCTGGGTGCTGCGTGTGTGTCTGGGTGCTGCGTGTGTCTGAGGGAGCTGTGTGTGTCTGAGGGTGCTGTGTGTGTCTGAGGGTGCTGTGTGTGTCTGGGTGCTGTGTGTGTCTGAGGGTGCTGTGTGTGTTTGGGTGCTGTGTGTGTCTGAGTGCTGTGTGTGTCTGGGTGCTGTGTGTGAGTGTGTGTGAGTGTTTATTTAAATTTAAATATATTTTTTATATATATAATAAAAAAAGTTATATCCCCTTCTCCCTTCTTACCTTGGGTGGAGGTGGGGAGCTGGATATCCATGGAGGAGGGGGATCATGCTGCCTTCCCTGGTGGTCCAGTGGTGAGAGTGAACTCTAACCTGCAGGCTAGAGTTCACTCTCACGAGATCTGAGCATTTCCGTGGTAACCGCGGCAACGCTCAGAATCCCGCGAGAGGAGCCGGCGGAGCTGCTGGTTACAGCTCCGCCGGTCCTCTCCTGCCTCCCTACCTCACTCCCTCTCCTGCTGGCGGCCGCATCTCCATGCCTCTGGGCCGGTGAGGGAGATGTTTGATCTCCCCACCGGCCCATGGAGGCACTATGCAGGGCTGGCGCTCGGATAGCGCTGGCCCTGCAGGGGCCGGCCGGGGAGATCCTGTGATCTCCCTGCCGGCCTCGGCCCACGGCCATCGCGGCCCACCGGGCATTTGCCCGATGGCCAGTCCGGGCCTGTCCTAACTGTATTTTGATAATATATATATTTGTATCAAAATACTTAGAATTAAATTTTATATATATGTGATATAAAACAAAGGAAGGGGTGCACTCCAAGGTCTACTAATCAGAGTTCGTGTTTAATTTAGTTTTAAATCTGATAAATCTGTCAAACTAAATTAAACACGAACTTTGATTTGAAGACCTTGGAGTGCATCCCTTCCTTTGTTTGTTATATTTTCAACATAGGATTTGCACCCATGCAAGTTTTTTTTTAAATTCTTTATTTTTCGTGCAAGTATATATGACAAACAGATGCACTGAGCCATAACAGCCCTGCCGGGCTACTTAATAACTTAGTACAAGTATTATAGGATGTCATGGAGGTACAATTTGCTAAATTTTAGTTATGAAGGACTGATAGGTTATAACGAGGTATGACATTAGTAGGGAGAGTGGGGTTCACAGCTCTCTAGGTATCGGGTCGTGAGGCCGAAAATGTATGGAGGCCTAGATCGTGCTGGTTAAGTGCTGTCTGTAGGCGCAAATTAGGTGTGGTAAGGACTTGGTGCTGTGAGTCATTGGGGTCGTGTGAGTCTGCCAGATCCGTGGTAAATTTTACATAATTATGTGATTTTTTTTTTTTTATTAATTACGATTTGAGGGACTTGCATGACAACCCAGGCAGAAAGTCCAGATAATTTAAATGGCAAGCCTTATATTTAACCCAGTAACTTTCCAAAACATTATAAAACCTATACAAGGGGGCACTGATGTACTTGAGAGACTGCTCTAAACACAAATATTAGTGTTTCAAAACTGTAAAATGTACCACAATGATGATATCTTTAGTATAAGTGCACTTTTTATGTGTAAAATACATACAACAAATATGAACGCTAACTTCGGCCATCGTTTGTGACTAAGTGGCTACTAAAAAAGACTGAACATAACCCATTTTAAATACCCTAGGTCAGTGATGGCGAACCTATGGCACGCGTGCCACAGGTGGCACGCCGGGCCCTTTCTGTGGGCACGCGGCCACAGGTTCGCCATCAATGCAGAGTAGGCGCCTGCCTGCCCGAAACGGCAGGCGCCTACTCTGCTTCCGGGTCGGGAGGCAGGGGGAGGGCTCTGTGATGCAGCTCCCCTGTCCTCCCGCGCGATGCTGTGTGGAGCGTTGCCGCGCATTACCATGGCAACGCTCCACACAGCATTGCGCGGGGGGACAGGGGAGCTGCTTCCTGGAGCCCTCCCCCTGCAGTTCTTACCACCACCGGACCACCAGGGATGGCTGTGTGTCCCCCCCCCCTACTTCATTAAAGGTAAGAAGGAGGGAGGGGGGGTATACTGACACACAGCACCCTTACCCCCCCCAGCAGTACCCCTAACCCTCCCCAGCAGTAACCCCTAACCCCCCAGCAGTAACCCTAACTACGCACCCTACCCCAACCGTAACCCTACTCTCTCTCTGCAGCGGTACCCCCCTACCCTCCCCCAACCAGAACCCTAACCCCCAGCCCTACCCCCCAGCGGTAACCCCCTCTCCCCAGCAGGCCTAACCCCAGCACCCTACCCTCCCCGGCGGTAACCCCTACCCTCCCCAGCGGTTTACCCCTCAGCCGTGGCTTCTTCCCCCACAGCAGTACCCTGCCCCAGCGTGGCCCAGGCAGTAGCCCCTACCCCCGGCCAGTACCCCCACAACTCCCCAGCAGTACCCCTACCCCCACACACAGTACCCTAACCCCCACACTGAGTGCCCTAACCCCCCAGCAGTACCCTACCCCATGCAGTACCCCTACCCCCATGCAGTACCCTACCCCCCCAACCCACCCCTCACACAGTACCCCTACCCTCCCAGCAGTACCCCTACCCCCCACACACAGTACCCCAACCCCTCACACACAGTACCCCTACCCCCCGCAGCACCCTTACACATATAGCACACACAGCACCCCACACACACACACACACAGCACCCCCCACATACAACACTCACACACACGCACCCCCCACCTCAATGCAGTATGTGTGTATTCAGCAGTGTGTGTGTGTGCGTGTATTCAGCAGTGTGTGTGTGTTTGCGTGTATTCAGTGAACTGTGTGTGTTTGCGTGTATTCAGTGGACTGTGTGTGTGTACTCAGCAGTCTGTGTGTGTGTATTCAGCAGTCTGTGTGTGTGTATTCAGCAGTCTGTGTGTGTTTGCGTGTATTCAGTGGACTGTGTGTGTTTGCGTGTATTCAGTGGACTGTGTGTGTTTGCGTGTATTCAGTGGACTGTGTGTGTGTACTCAGCAGTCTGTGTGTGTGTACTCAGCAGTCTGTGTGTGTGTATTCAGCAGTCTGTGTGTGTGTATTCAGCAGTCTGTGTGTGTGTGTATTCAGCAGTCTGTGTGTGTGTGTATTGAGCAGTCTGTGTGTGTGTGTATTCAGCAGTCTGTGTGTGTGTGTATTCAGCAGTGTGTGTGTGTGTACTCAGCAGTCTGTGTGTGTACTCAGCAGTCTGTGTGTGTACTCAGCAGTCTGTGTGTGTGTGTGTTTGTACTCAGCAGTCTGTGTGTGTGTGTACTCAGCAGTCTGTCTGTATGTGTACTCAGCAGTCTCTGTATTCAGCAGTCTTGTGTGTGTGTGTATTCAGCAGACTGTGTGTATGTATTCAGCAGTCTGTCTGTGTATGTATTGCATTTGTTGGAGATACTAATAAATATAAGCTTAATTTTATCTATTTATATCATTATTTAAAATTTGTATCATTGAACTCTCTGTGTTCTTTTAAAACAAAAGTTATTAGTTCGGACAACAGTACGAGTTTTTTTTTTTCTAAACTTAAACCTCAGTATTTGGGTTTAATTGCCGTGTTGGCACTTTAAGGAGAAAAAATGTTGGCATGTATTGCGGTTTGGGCACTCGGGCTCAAAAAGGTTCGCCATCACTGCCCTAGGTTGTCTACTTTTTTAAACTGTCTGCCATGATGGGGGTACTTCTCATTTCTTGGCTCCTATATGTTCTCAAAAGCAACATATTGGCAAACATATTTCACATATGTTTCTTTTTTTTTCTCACTCTGTGTTC